TTAATTTCTGGGATTTACTTACCTTCTATAATTGAAACTTTGTTGCCACTCCAGCTCCGAGGCAAGGGCCTGCTGAAAGCAGGTATCTTGGGTTTGTTTAGCTTCTATAATTGCAACTTTGATGCTTAGAGTGGAGCTCAGAGCCTGGCCGCAGCAGGGAGAAAGCTTGGCTTCCTCCATCACTAGAGAAAGCAAGCCTACTGCTCACTTCAGCTGCATGGCTGCCCGCCGCCATCTTGGTTGGGTTAATTTGCATATCCTGCTGATTAGCCAATGGGAAGCGTAGCAGAGGTATGTTTGTCTATTATTAGATTAGATTAGATGGAATGGAATTACCTGACAGTCAATGTGCGCCACTGAGGGGTCCTGGATTGAGAGAGGGCACAGGCTAGGCCAAGGAATTCTACCAGTGCACGATCGAGGCCAGAGAGGAACGTGGGAGGTTAGCCAGCAAAGGAGGGATTGCAGGAGTGCTTCAGGGCATGTCCAGCCCGTCTTCCTCAGTCCCAACAGGCCAGACCCGAGCAACAAGCTAACCTACCAGTTGGAGCGTCTGCATACGTCAGAGTACGTCACAGCGACTGGTCGACTGCCCCCTAGTGGTCAGTACACATCATAGCAACTGGCCAACAGTCTGTACATGTCATAGCGAGTGGTTGAGCAGCCTTAGCCAATCATTGGCATATTACTCTTTGACTGGTTGAATGGACAACCAGACGACAGCACACTTAGCATATTAGGCTTTTATTATATAGACTATTCCTAGAAGTGGGATCACTGGGACAAAGGATGGTTCCACATTTAATTTTTTTGAAGAAATTCAATATTGTTTTTCATAATGGTTGCAGTGTGAATTTCCACCAGCACTGAAATAGGGTCCCTTTTTCTACACATCCTCGCCAGCACTTGTCATTTGTAGATCTGTTGACCATAACCATTCTGACAGGTGTAACTTACTATCTCATCGTCATTTTAATTTGCATCTTTTTGATGATCAGTGACGTTGAGCATGTTTCATCTGCATATCCTCTTTGGAAGTGTCTATATTCTTTGACCATTTTTTAAAACTGGATTGTATGCCTTCCTTTTGTTAAGTTGCATGAGTTCCTTATATATTTTGGATATTAACCTTTTATTAAACGTATCATTGCCAAATACGTTATCCCTACAATAGGCTCCCTTTTCCTTTTGTTGGTTTCTTTTGCTGTGCAGAAGACTTTTATTTAGATGTAGTATATTTGTTTATTTTCTCCTTAGCTTCCTTTGCCCTAGGAGATGCATCAATAAACATATTGCTCGAGAGAGGTGTAAGATTTTTGTGACAATAGCTATTTCTAGGATTTTTTAAATTAAATCTTTATTGTTCAGATTATTACAGTTGTTCCTCTTTTTGTCCCCCCATAGCTCTCCTCCACCTAGTTCCCACCCCAGCATTTGCCCTTACCCCTCCCACTGTCCTCATCCATAGGTGTAAAATTTTTGTCCAGTCTCTTCCTGCACCCACACACCACTCCCCCTGCCCCCCGGAATTGTCAGTCCACTCCCTTTCCATGCCCCTGGTTCTATTATATTCACCAGTTTACTCTGTTCATCAGATTTTTTATTCACTTCATTTTTAGATTCACTTGTTGATAGATATGTATTTGCTGTTCATAATTTTTATCTTTACCTTTTTCTTCTTCCTCTTCTTAAAGAATACCTTTCAGCATTTCATATAATGCTGGTTTGGTGGTGATGAACTCCTTTAGCTTTTTCTTATCTGTGAAGCTCTTTATCTGACCTTCAATTCTGAATGATAGCTTTGCTGGATAAAGTAATCTTGGTTGTAGGTTCTTGCTATTCATCACTTTGAATATTTCTTGCCACTCCCTTCTGGCCTGCAAAGTTTCTGTTGAGAAATCAGCTGACAGTCGTATGGGTACTCCCTTATAGGTAACTGACTTTTTTTCTCTTGCTGCTTTTAAGATTCTCTCTTTGTCTTTTGCTCTTGGCATTTTAATTATGATGTGTCTTGGTGTGGTCCTCTTTGGATTCCTTTTGTTTGGGGTTCTCTGCACTTCCTGGACTTGGAAGTCTATTTCTTTCACCAGGTAGGGGAAGTTTTCTGTCATTATTTCTTCAAATAGGTTTTCAATATCTTGCCCTCTCTCTTCTTCTGGTACCCCTATAATTCTGATGTTGGTACGCTTGAAGTTGTCCCAGAGGCTCCTTACACTATCTTCGTATTTTTGGATTCTTTTTTCATTTTGCTTTTCCGGTTGGGTGTTTTTTGCTTCTTCGTATTTCAAATCTTTGACTTGATTCTTGCGATCCTCTGGTCTGCTGTTGGGAGTCTGTATAATATTCTTTATTTCAGTCAGTGTATGCTTAATTTCTAGTTGGTCCTTTATCACAACATCGAGGGTCTCACTAGATTTCTTAAGGATCTCAATACATTTATCGGCGGTTTCCATAAAATTCTTGAAAAATCTTAGAACCGTGGTTTTGAACTCTATATCCAGTCGTTTGCTGTCCTCCATTTCTGTCATTTGTGACCTGTTTCTTTGTCTTCGCATTTTGTCTGCTTCCCTGTGTTGGTAGAGTGGTTTTGTGTGCTAGGTGTCCTACAGGGCCCAGTGGCTCAGCCTCCCCAGTTACCTGAGGTGGACACTCTTGGTGCACCCCCTTGTGGGCTTTGTGCACAGTCTTGTTGTAGTTATGCCTTGATTGTTTTAGGTGTCACTGGGAGGAATTGACCTCCAGGCCAATTGGCAGTGAGAATCAGCTGTGTCTGCAGTGGGAAAACTTCTGTCCTCTGGAGAGGCGCTAATCTAGCCTTTGCCTGAGGCGATCCAGCAAATGGCTCTGCACAGGGCTTGGGCGGGGCGGGATCAACAGGGCAGGGCGGGCGGAGGGAGCGGTTATAGCCCCTCTCAGTCCCGTTCCCAGAGGCTCTGCTTCTCAGAACCCCAGGAACCGCTGCAAACCTCGGAGAGAAAGCTGCCCTCGCGTTCCGACCAATGCCAGACAGTCCCGCTTCTCCCGTTTGAGTCTGGGTCCCTAGAGACTCGCCCGGATCTGGAGCTCAGAGTCTGAAACTCCCTCCCGATTGAAGACAACAACCGCACCCTCCGCCGCCGACCCACTCCACATGCACTCCGAACCTTAGTATTTCACTTCAGCACTGCGCCTCCTCTGAGTCTCGTATGGTTTCCTCTTTCCTCCTAGTTGTAGAACTTCCACTCAGCCAGCCTTCCTGTGGTTCTGGATGATGACCGTTCTGTCTTTTAGTTGTATTTTTGAAGTGGTTGTGCGAGGCAGCAATTTCCGGTGTTTACCTCTGCCGCCATCTTGGTTTTCTATTTCTAGGATTTTTATGGTTCACCAGTTACATTTAATTTTTTAAAATTCATTTTGAGTTTATTCTTGTGTATGGTGTAAGTTGGTGCCCTAGTTTCATTGTTTTGCATGTATCTATCCAATTTTCCCAACTCCATTTATTGAAGAGACTGTCTTGACTCCATTGTATGCTCTAGTCTCCTGTGTCAATTATTAATTAAGCATAATGGCTTGGGTCAATTTCTGGGGTCTCTGTTCTGGTCCATTGGTCTATATGCCTTTTCTTGTGCCCACTGTTTTAATTATGGTGGCTGTATAGTATTACTTTAAATCTGGTATTATGATTCCTCCAACTTTTTTTTTTCTTTCTCAAGATTGCTGCAGGTATATGGGGTCTGTTTTGATTACTTAGAAATTTCTGGAGTATTTGTTCTAGCTCTGCAAGGTATGCTGTTAGTATTTTAATAGGGATTGCACTGAATCAGTAGATTGCCTTGAACAGTATGGGAATTTTAATGATGTTGATTCTATCAATCCATGAACACAGTATGTTCTTCCACTTATTTATTTCTTCTTTTATCTCTTTTTCAATGTTCTATAGTTTTAAGAACAGGTTCTTTTGCCTCCATGGTTAAGTTTATTACTAAGTAATTAATTCTCTTGTTGCAATGGTAAATGAGATTGTTTGTTTAGTTTCTCGTTCTGAGAATTCATTATTGGTATATAAAAAAGCCATAAATTTTGGGGTGTTGATTTTGTATCCTGCTACATTGCCAAATTCATTTACTAAACCTAGTAATTTTTTGGTATAGTTGTTAGGGTTTTCTATTTACAATATCATGTCATCTGCAAATAGAGTTTTAATTCCTCTTTTCCAATTTGGATGCCTTTTATTTCTTCTTCCCCTCTGAGCGCTGGCTAGGACTTTCAGTACTATCCTTCCAGTACTATAATAAAAGCTTAATATGCTAATAATACGCGAAGGCCGCTCAACCATTCCCTATGATGTGCACTGACCACCAGGGGGCAGATGCTCTGACTGGTAGGTTAGCTTGTTAGTGGGGTCCAGCCGATGAAGACTGAGTGAGATGGGCCAGTCCCTCCCCAGCCCCAATCATGCACTGATGGGGTCCCTTGGCCTGGCCTGTGCCATCTCGCAATTCAGGATGCCTCAGGGGATGTCAGAGAGCCAGTTTTAGCCCAATGCTGCAGTCCAGGCCAAGGTACCCCATGGTACATGAATTTGTGCACAAGGTCTCTAGTGTTGAATAGGAGTGGTGAAAGTGACTTCCTATTCTTGTTCCTGTTCTTAGGGAAAATGGTTTTAGTTTTTCCCATTGACTATTGTGTTTTTTGGAAGTTTGTCATATATGACCTTTATCGTATTGAAATATGCTCCCTCTATTCCCACCTTGCTGTGGGTTTTTATAAAAAATGGGTGTTGAATTTAGTCAAATGATTATTCTGCATCTATGTGTATGATTATGTGATTTTTAACTTGCAATTGGTTTATGCGATGTATCACATTTATTGATTTCCACCTATTGTACCAGCCTTGCATCTCTGGAATAAATACCACTTGGTCATGGTGTATGATCTTTTTAATACATTGCTGGATTCAATTTGCTAATATTTTGTTGATAATTTTAGCGCCTATTCATCAGGGATACTGGCCGGTACTTCTCTTTCTTTGTAGTGCATTTAATTACTTTTGGAATTAGGATAATGCTGTCCTCATAAAAAGAACTTGGAAATGTTCCTTCCTTTAGGGTTGTTGTTTTTTTTTTTTTTTTGGAATAGTTTTAGTAGTATAGATGTTAGTTCTTTGAATTTTTGGTAAAAAAAAAACTCCCCTGTGAAGCCGACCGGACCCAAACTTTTGTTTGCTGAAAGTTTTTTGATTACTCCCTCTATTTCAACAGTTGTTATTGGCACATTTAGGTTTTCTGCTTTTTCCTAATTCAGTTTTGGAAGACATTATTTTCCAGGAATTTGTCCATTTCATCCACATTGTCCAGCTTGTTAGCATATTTGTTCACAGTATTTTTAAAATAATTCTTTGTATATCTGCTTTCGTTTCCAATTTTATTTGAGTTCTCTCTTTTCTATATTAGTCTGGCTAATGGATCATCAATTTAGTTTTTATCCTTTTATAGAACCAGCTCTTTGTTTCACTAATTTTTTTTTTAGTCTCTAAGTCATTTCTTTATGCTCTAATTATTATTTCCTTCCTTCAATTTACTCTGAGTTTTTCTTGTTCTTTCTAATTTAGTTGTAGGATTAAACGGTTTATAGTTGACTTTTTCTTGTATTTTGAGATAGGCCTGTAGCGCTCTGAACTTCCCTCTTAGGACTGCTTTTGCTGTGTCCCAGATATTTTGGGTTGTTGTTTATTCATTTTCATTTGTTTCCAGGAAGTTTTTTTTTAATTTTTTCTTGATCTCGTTGGTAACCCATTCCGTTTAATAACATGCTATTAATGCTTTAGGGCATTTTCACTTAAGTTGATTTCTAATTTCAATCCACTCTGAACTGAGAAGACTCTTGTAATGATTTCAATCTTGTAGAGACTTGTGATCTAATATGTGGTCTATCTTTGTGAATGACATGACTGCACTTGAGAAGAATGTATATTCTGCAGTTTTGGGGTGAAATGTTCTATAAGTTGTCAATTAAATCCACTTGAACCAGTGTGTCCTTTATAGTCACTGTTTCCTTATTAATTTTTGTCTGGAAGATCTGTCCAGTGAAGTAAGCAGGGTGTTAAAGTTCCCTACTATGACTGTATTGTCAATCTCTCCTTTAAAGTCTTCTAGAAATGTTTTTAAATATATTTAGATGCTCCTATATTGGGTGCATATATGTCTACCAGAGTTATTTCCTCTTGTTGGATCGATCCCTTTAGTATTATGTAGTGACCTTTGTTGTCCCTTGATGGCCTTCATTTTGAATATGAGTACTGCTGCTCCAGCTTTTTATTTCTATTTGCATGAAAAGTTTTTCACATCCATTCTCTCTCATTTTGTGTGTTTTTTCTTCTGAGATGTGTCTTTTTTAGGCAACATATAGTTGGGTCATATGTTTGTATCCATTCAACTACCCTATGCCTTTCGATTGGATCATTTAATTCATTTACATTTAAGGTTATTATCCATAGGTGCTCAGTTATTGCCATTTAAATTATATATGGCTAGGTTTCTCTATTTCTTATTATTATAGCAGTCCCTTTAGCATTTCTTAATGCTGGCTTGGTGGTAATGTACTCTTTTAGCCCTTTTTTTTTTTTTTTTTTTTTTTTTGGTCAAGGAAGCTCTTTATTGACCTTCTATTTTGAACGATAGCTTTGCTGGATATAATAACCTTGGTCTCAGATCCTTGCATTCCATTACCTTCAGTACTTCATGACATTGCTTTCTGGCCTGTAGATTTTCTTATGAGAAATCAGGTGTCAGCCTTATGGGAATCCTTTGTAAGTAAGAATTTGCTTTGCTCTTGCTGCCTTTAATGTTCTGTTTTTAATTCTTGACATTTTAATTCTGATGTGTCTAGGCATGGGCCTGTCTGGGTTCCTTGTGCTTGGGGTTCTTTGTGCGTCCTGTATTTGTGTGACATTTTCCTTTACCAGGTTAGAAAAAGTTTTCTGCTATTATTTCTCTCCCTTTCTCCCTTTCTGCCTCTTCTGACACACCTGCCATTCGAATACTGTTTCGTTTCATGTCCCACAGCTCCCTTAAGCTGTCCTGTGTTTTAATTGTTTTTTCTTTTTGGTTCTCTGAGTGGTTTTTTTTAAACCTTGTCTTCTAATTCACTGATTCGGTCCTCAGCCTTCCCTAATCTGCTGTGTATTCCTTCCAATGTGTTCATTATTTGCACTGCCATTCTTTATTTGTGACTGTTCTTTTTTCACAGTTACTATATCTTTTCTCATGCTGTTGAGCATCTTTACCATCATTATTGTGAAATCTGTTTCAGATAAATTTCTTATCTCGGTTTCATTTATCTCTTCTGAACAATTCTCTTGTCCTTTCATTTGTGGTTTGGTTCTTTATTCCTCATTTTGTCTTCCCATTTGTTATGTAACTATGTATTACAGTGATTCCCAAAGTGGGCGCTACCGCCCCCTGGTAGGCGCTGCAGCGATCCAGGGGGGGCGGTGATGGCCACAGGTGCATTTGGGGGCCATGAGTAACTGCTATTAAAATTTTTAAAAAAATTAATTTCCAGGGGCTGAGTAATATTTTTTCTGGAAAGGGGGCGGTAGGCCAAATAAGTTTGGGAACCACTGATGTATTAGGCCGATCTACTACGCCTCTCAATCTTTAGTTGCAGGACTTTTGTCAAGGAAGCTTTCTGACTAATTATATCAGGCTGACTGATAGGATTCTGATTTATCTGCCCCCAGGCAATCACCCATAGGTGTGGCAAGAGTTTTTCTCAACAGGATATGGTAACTGTTTCTGCCTGGAGGCTGTTAGTCTCGGAAAGGGCAAGGAATTTTCCAATAGGGTAGGTCTGCAGAGTTCCCCTCCAGGTAATGACACCTGTATAGCAATTGTCGGCATGAGAAAGATGACCTCTGCAGTGTGAAGGAATGGCTCAGCATGAGAAACTGGGCTCTCTATCCCAGAGCCCTCCATCCTTGCTATTGCTAACTGAGCTCCAATCCACTCTGCTGTTCATCTTTCGGAGCACAAGTAGGGGGCTCCACAGTGAATTTTATGTGTTGGCCCTTTAAGAGGGTTCCTGAATTTCCAGCCATCTCTCCCTGGCGGACAGCTACCCTGCTGCTTTACACAACCAGATATTCTATGGGTACCTTCTCAGTTCTGGTTCTCTCTGCTGAGGGGCCCAGCTTTGGAATTAGACTCCACAGTTCTCAGTGGCAACTATCCACAGCTGAGATGTCTCTGTTGCCTGTCGGGGCCAGCCAGCCCTTCTGCACCTCCACTCTCCTACCAGCTTCTATGCAGTCTCCACTTGGTCCTTGAGTATCAGAGTTCTCTCCAGAGAGTCTTCCACTGATTACTCAGTAAGTTTTTCTATATTTTAGTTGTAATTCCAGTTTGGACCTGGGAACATGTCCATGCAGCATCCATTTACTCAATCACCATTTTTAATCTTAGATCTGGCTTTTAAAAAATGTTTAAGTTTTTCAAAGAGAAGGAAAGTGACATAGGACAGGAACTTGAATGTATATAAACAAAGAAAAGCATTTGAGGACAAGGTGAAAGTAAAATAAATAACTTGTATTTCTCATTCTTAAATAACGTAACAATTTTTTCAAAATAATATAAACGAGAAGGTATTCAATGATAAAATATCAGAGGGAGGAATTAGGAATAATTTGTCATTATAAGTAATTTAACTAACCATGGAGCTGTATAGTGTTACAGTTTGTATGTTGCAAACTCTAAGGCAACCACTAAAAACGTTAAAAAAAGCGTTAATAAGAAGGAAAAGGAAATCATAAAATTTTCAAATGAAACAAAAAACAGAAACAAACTTAAAGATAAAAGTAAAAATTTGGGTAAGGGCTATAAATAGAAAAAAAATAACAAATAGAAGATGTATTATTGAAATTATTTCAACAATAATTTTAAACATCAGCATTTTTTTATTTTATTTTTTTAATATTTTTATTGATTTCAGAGAGGAAGGGAGAGGGAGAGAGAGAAACATCAATGATGAGAGAGAATCATGGATCGGCTGCCTCCTGCACACCATTGCACGTAAGGGTGAAACCCGCAACCTGAGCATGTGCCCTTGACTGGAATCAAACCGGGACCCTTCAGTCCGCAGGCTGATGCTCTTTCCACTGAGCCAAACCGGCCAGGGCTACATCAGCAATTTAAATATTTAAGATGGAGTGGATTAAAAAGCAAAATCCAACTTGATCTTAGTTAATTTAAAGCTTGTTTAAAAGTTAGATATAAAAGCAAATATAGGTTAAAATTCAAAGGATGGAGAAAGATGTAGAAAACAGAGTCAACTTATCTTTGACAAAGGAGCAAAGATAATACAATAGAGAAAAAAATAGCCTTTCAACAAATATTGCTGGAACAACTGGCTATTACATTTTTAAAAAGGGGGGGGGGGCATACTAAAACTAAACTAGATCATATACACTTCACAAAAATTAACTCAAACTGAATCAGAGACCTAAATGTAAAATGCAAAACTTAAACCTCATAGAATATGACATAGGCAAAACTATATGACAATGGGTTTGGCGATTACTTTTGACACACCATCAAAGGCATCATACATTAAAGAAAGAATTGATAAAACTGGATTTCACTAAAATTACCAATTTGTTTCATGAAAGAAAGGTACAGATTGAGAGAAAACATTGCAAACTAAAGGACTATTATCCAAAATATAAAAAGAACTCTTAAAAGTCATCAATAACAAAACCTCACTAAAAAATGAGCAAAAGTCCTGTACAGACACCTTACAAAGAGGATATACAGATAGCAAATAAGTATATGAAAGTTGTTCAACATGTCATCAGAAAACAGCAAATTAAAAAAAAACAAGCAATGAGATTTCACACACATCTGTTAGAATGGCCAAAATCTAAAACCCTTACACATCAAATGCAGGTAAAGATGTGCAGCAACAGGCACTCTCATTCATTGTTGGTGGGAAATTAAAATGGTACAGCCACCCTACTTATCTGGCAGGGGAGATACTGTGATCATAAAATGGTACAGACAGTTTGGCAGTTTCTTATAAAACTAAACATACTGAGAACCAAGATGGTGGCATAAGGTATAAACCTGTACGTGCTGCCCCCCACAACAACATTAAAACTACAACTATAAGTCAAAACAGCTATCATCCAGAACCACGGGAAAGCTAGCCGAGTGGAAGTTCTACAACTAGAAGGAAAGAAAAAAGCACATTGAGACCAGACCGGGTAGGAGGTAGAGAGATGCCAAGAACACAGGTACAAAGGCGCAAAACCTGGGTGCGTGGTTTTTTTCAATCGGAAGGGGATACAAGCTCTCGAATGCACAGAACTCATTTATGGCGAGACTCTGGGGTCCCAGACTCCTACGGGGAGAAATTGGACTGTCTGCAGCGGGTCGGAGAGCGAGGGTGGCGTTCTCGCAGAACTGCTCGCAGGGATCATTGTTGCTGTGGGGGCACGGGACTCAGGGAAGCAGAGACCCGGAGTTGCCGAGACGGCTGACGACAGCCATTGCTGTTTGCTCCGCCCTGGTGATTCTCTGAGACCCCGCCCCACTCAATTTACATCCCCAAGCTGTGCGCAGAGGCGCAAAGGAATCACCTGAGCTTTTGCAGCCTAACCTAAGAAACTGCAGCTGGGTCAGAGAGCTCCAAAACTTCCAAACCCCAAACAAAGAAGAGAAATCTACTGATATCGCTGTAGCTCCTCCTGGGTGGACTCACACAGTGGTTGACTTGGAGATCCAGGAGCCAGGGTACCCCTGGTCAGATACCAGATTTCAACTCCTCACACCCATAAGGGACACACTCAAGAAGCAGACTCAGTAAGCACCAAAGCCCCACTGAAGCAAGTCCTACCCCATAAGGGTGTCTCCAGCACAGCAGTTCTTCCACTGTAGACACAGCGGGTCCTCGCAGTCAGCCAAAAATGCGGAGACAAAGAAACATGTCACAAATGAAAGAAATGGAGGAAAGCAAACTAATGGAGGACATAGAGTTCAAAAACACAGTTAAAAGGTTATTCAAGAATCTTCTACGAACCTCTGAGGAACTCAGTGAGACCTTCAAAAATATTAATGAGAATGCCAAAAAAATGGAAAAGGACCAGTCAGAAATTAAACATACACTGACTGAAATAAAGAATAATATACAGAGATCCAACAGCAGACTAGAGGATCCCAAGAATCAAGTCAAAAATTTGAAATACGAAGAAGCAAAAAACACCCA